CCCCTGTGGCAGTGGGTTGCCATGGGCTACCGTGTGTGGCCAGCAGCCGCAGTGAGCGGCCGTCCAGAAGCCGGCGACTGATCTGCCTCGCCCGGGAGGAGCGCAGTGATGGTGCCAACTTGGGCCAGTGGAGCAGTGTCCTCCATAACTAGACTGAAGAGCAGGACAACAGCAGCTTGTCTGTTCCCCTTCCCCCAATTCCCCAGCACTGTTCCCATGCCCCCAATTCCCCAATAAATAAAAAAAAAAGGATGCTCAACATTAGTAATTATTAGGGAAATGCAAATTAAAACCACAATGAGATACTACTTCACGCCCATTAGGATGGCTATTACTTAAAAAATAATAATTAAAAAACAATAAGTGTTGAGGAGGATAAGAGGAATTGGAACCCTGTGCATTGCTGGTGGCAATATAAAATGGTACAGCTTCTATGGAAAACAGTATAATGGTTCCTCAAAAAATTAAACAGAATTACCATATGATCCAGCAGTTCCACTTCTGGGTATAAACCCAAAAGAATGGAAAGCAGGGAGTTGAACAGATACTTACACACCCAGGTTCATTGCATCATTGCTCACAATAGCCAAAAGGTGAAGCAGCCCAAGTGTCCACTGAAGGATGAATGGATAAATAAAATGTTACATAGATAATAGATACGTAGATATATAGGTATAGATACACACTCACACACAATGGAATATTATTTAGCCTTAAAAAGGAAGGAAATTCTGACACATACTACAATATGGATGATACTTGAAGACATGCTAAGAAATATAAGCCAGTCACAAAAGGACAGATACTATATATATGATTCCACTTTTATGAGACACCTAAAGTACTTAGGTTCATAGAGACAGAAAATACAATGGTGGATGCTGGGGGCTGAGAGGAGGGAGAAAGGAGCTGCTGTATAGTGGGTAAGGAATTTCAGTTTAGGAGGATGAAAAAGTTATATAGATGGCGGTCATGATTCTACCTACAACAATGTGAACGCACTTAATGCCACTGAGTGGGACACTTAAGAATGGTTAATGGGGGCCAGCCGAGTGGCGCGATGGTTAAGTACTGGCTTGGGACGCCAGAGGGCCCCGGTTCGGATCCCACATATGAGGGCCAGTGACACTGCCCTCCACAGCTAAGATGCTGAAC